AAAATTAAAACAAAAATTAAAGTATTATGATGTCATTTGTAATTTTATTAAAACTAATATGGCATTCCAGTTAAAACTAGCAAACTACTTGAAACTGATCGACATGGTTAGGGAAGTATACCTTTGTCTCATCTGACAACTAATAGTAAAATTAAGTTATGACTGAAATGAAGCAGTTACAAGACATATCTTAACGGAAATAGATCTCCTTACAGACTTTATGTTGAGTGGTGAGTATGTCTAGCGGCTTCTGCAAGATCCAGAGACTTCCAGAGGGGATATACAGGACACGACATTATTTCGGCCACTAAATATTTTCAGTATTTATATTACGTCACAATCTTCTTATAATTACAAAGATACTGGAAGCAGGTTTAACTACTTGATAATGTTTTCCACTATTTTTCAAACAAATTTCATTCTTTAATTTTGTCAAAGAGTTGTGAAAGTCAAAATTGAAACTAAGAACAATCTGAACTGAATACAGAAAAATAACAGGCTTCTACTGTAAACATGTTCTAATTTTTCGACACAAAACAGTCTTACTGATATTATTCGATAGAGTTAGTTTTCTAATCGCGCTGAAACACGGTCAATCTCATTTTTTTACCCAATATTTTAAGAATTCATTGCAAAGAAATCCAGATTTCACTTTTCTTGTGACTACCCTATTTCATTATATGTATTCAAAGCATTTTCTAGTTCTCCGTCGTCAGTCAGACATGAACATAAGTTTCGCAAGATTATTTCTTTTTTATGGTTCTATATTTAAATTGCAAAAATACGAACGATATCTGGAAAGTAAGGTCACAATATTTTTATACATACACAACTACAAAAAATTAAATGAAAATTACAGGGAAAATATTATAGATATTACACCTTTTTAAACATAATCACCATTTACTTCAATATATTCTGTCTTCTGTTCTGGGATGACGTTTGTCATTCCTTCGTTATACAGGATTGCCGCCGATTCCTCAAGCCACTTCCCCACTTCGATTTTCACCTGCCTTCATCATAAAACAGATGATAGGTGTGAGATCGGGACTGTGAGAGGAGTGGTTTTAAATATTACAATCAAATGACAGCTACAATCAAAAGGCAGCAACAACTTTCACGTGCATGAGCGTAGTGATTAGAGCATTGTCAAAAACGGAGACGGACTTCCTTCTGGAACATCTTGCAGCGTTGGTTTGAAAGTATGCGCACATATAACTAAAATTGAATTTTCATATCCACTTAGACACATTTTACCATGATATAAATTCCTCCCCTTTAATTGAAACTATTTCGCGTTGAATCTCAGCGGCGCTCATGCCCTTGGCTCAGAGGTAGCCTATCACAGCGAGTAATTTGCCGGGAGACGGAATGAGAGCAGCCACCTTAAACAGTCACCACGAGAGTCGGGATGCAACTGACAACCGTTAACACTCAAAAGTCGTACCAACTGTGAGCAATACATTTCCCTGCAAGAGCTAAGCACTTTATAACCTTACCTTCCGGATATCTTTCGTATTATATGATATATTAAATTTATACCCAAGCTCGATATATTTGAAACACGTAACGGAGTGAATACTCGTATTAAATTTCGGAGTAAAATGAATTGATTTCATTAATTGATTCCCTCTATTTCTTCAATATTTTTTTCTGCAATTAATATAACAGGAATAATACATGTAATATAATTTCGTTCTAATGTTCATTAATGTTCTCCATTGTTATCCTCTCATGCAGTCTTACAACAAAAATAGTGAGTATTAATATGTTTTAATTACTTTCAATCGTACCAGATTATTTGTATCGGAGGTTTAAGTTGAATTTACTCACAAACCGATTTCTTAAGCAATGAAAATTTCAAAAACATCAATTTGTCAACCACAAAATTCAGGAGTCTTTTATAGTCTGTCGTTTTCACATCAAATTACGTCAGAAATTCATTCAAAATCAACATATCTCCAATTGAGAATTTCCACCCTACAAAAATCTGCTGTAAACATTCGTTTTTACAGTAGTTTATCGCAGAATAAGCGAAGTTCATTAAACAAACGATGCCCTGTACTGCACGAGCGTGGTAGGTGGAGAAAAGTTTGCATTACCTCGATATTCGGATGGAGCGGATTTAGTGCTCGGAATTGCAAAACGCGGCATTCCTGGCGCGCTGGACGTGCCATTTGTGGGCGCAAATGACTGCGTCCTCCCGCTCCCCATTCGCTTTGCAGCGTCGATGCAAAATGTCACTGAGGTGCATGCGAGTGTTGCTTGTAATTGCGTAATGCCAACATATCGATAAAATCAGTGATATCAAAAATGAGCGAGTGGTATATATTATAAAATGAAAAATATCAACTTTTTCGACTGGTTGATCTGGAAACTACAAGCTATTTCCATATTCCATTCCATTCCATTCTTTTTCCATCTAAGAACGTTTTCCAATTGCTATTGATATTTATTTTTCAAGTATATTTTTTTTAATTGACCTTTTTTATCACTAGCACTACGTTGTGAAATTACTCATTGTTTTATCGGTACAAAAGCTATCTTCAAAATCAATTTTTCGAAATGAATTTTGTTTTAAACATAACCACTAAGTTATGGTTGATAAAAGCACATTTAGTCAATATATTGTAATCCTTTAATTGACATCTCGTGGTTCCGAAATAGTGGAGGGTCAAGAATGATAAATGCTGTACATTTAAACCGTAATTACTCAATTGTTTCAAGTGTAATTACTACGAAATCAATTATAGGTTACAGAGAAGAAAGACCGTATCCATTATAACATAAATCATTAGGTGTTGTTTTTGGTAGAGTTCAATTCAAAAACAAATTAGGTAGTTGAACACGATTTGGGAGTTCTCTTGTCTTCAATTGTAGCATTTAACTCCGATTTAATACGTAGCTACCTTCTCTCTCTCTCACGATTGTCGTGTCCCCATGTGTTCAATTAGTTGTTCACCAAATATTACGTTGGTTTTCTCAGGTGCAAATCGTTCATGAGACAGGATTATGCATTGAATTTCTGTCAATATCGTTTATGACGGAAAGTATAGTTTTTTTGTGTAGTATTTTCTACAAAAATATCTTTCTTCTTTAAGTGAGTGTCAGGAGAATTGAAAATATGCAAAAACAGTGAAGAGAGGGAAGTGAAAAAATAAGAAGGTAACAGGAGTTCCCGATTTCTCCACTTCGATTTGAAAGCAATTCATATTTGAATTCAGAAACCAGCTGTTTGCGAACAATGGAAAATCTGTGAATTTCTCTCTTTGGCCAATAATTAACACGTCTGGAACAAGAGAAGAAATAAATATGACAGAAGCAGCGGCTCGTGCCCTTTTGAGGAGATTATTTTTAATGTTCATGTATAACTTTTTTTCAATATATTCCCTTTAATACTAGAAAATAACACTCGGACAATGAATGATCTCTATACGAAATAACGTGTCACCTTTATTTGGTGTACATTTCACGCCACTTCCTTCCATCGAATTCCTTCTATGCCCCTGAGTATGGACGCCAATCCATCCATATTTACGACAACTAATATCTCATCAGCGGAAAAAAACGGCTCGATTCTTCTCTTTAACTGCTTATTCAAATCATATTGTTTGGCACTGCAGCTTAGATTAAAGGGAAATTCTAATTTTAGAGGATTCGCAGCCGCTATCGGAAACGCTGAATATGCAAATACGAACATCTGCCTGTACACACGCGCAGGTAACGATGCGCAGAATTATTTGCATGACTCTTGAAGGGCGCGCGTTCGCGCGCGCGGGAGAACTGCGGGCGAGGCGCTTGCTGCGGGCGAGTCATTGAGCGGCGGACGATAATGAAGCGGTCGGAGACGCGGATTCCAGATGTCGCTCGCCGGCCCTGGGATGGGATTCGGGAGTATGAGTGCGCCCCTGATCGCGGGATTCTATTACACGTTTCATTGGCTCATCGGTTCTGATTGGATATTCATTCTGGGAAATGTTACATTGGATAACGGGGTTTGTATTAATTGTGAGAGCAAATTTCTCGTTCAGCATATTCCATTACGGAGAGGTTTATGTGGTACCAATGGTGGGCGGAATGCTCTACCGAAAAATGAGTATATGACTGACAAGATGTAGAAGTAATCTGATGACACAAATCTTTATTTAAAAGTCAAGTGATAATTTCTTATAAATAATTGTTATTGAAGGTATCGGAAGAAAGAAAAAAATTATCATAAGAGTAATTGGTTCTAAAATTTTGAAGTTGAGTGCATATTTTTATTTCGTAGATCCATGACGGAATATATTTACAAATGATTTTAATTCAAATTTTGTAATCTACGTTTAAATTCGCGAGGGAAAATGTACAACTGTTTCAATAACAAATTCAGATTGTTATATTGAAATCTGAAATTTAATTGACAATCGCTTATTATAGCACGAACGTAATAGTAAAATTACAAAAAGTTGAGATTTTTTCTAAAATGAATGTCATTCCAATAACTCATGGTTGATTACAAAGTACAAGTATTTACATTTAAATGTCATTCGAAAAGGTGGGAATTTAATTTATAAATCATTGTTAATTTTACTACAGATAATAGAGAACTTCTGTCCATATACTTTTCAACGCTAGTTCAACGACAGTGTCTTCTATAAAAATCCATTCTACATTACATCAGAACTCTTGAATTTTGAAATGAGCCAAATACCTTCCTTCAACAGATAAATCGCATGCACACACACAATTTGTTCCAATAAAATAAATTTTACAGGTAGAACCAGAGAATCTATGTAAAGAAATATAAGGAACCTGGAGATGGGAGTTGGAAGAGAAGGCTCAGAACAGAGTCAACACGTTCCATAACTGCAAAATGATCGATGAGAATTGCATTATTTGGCCTCTGTGAAAATAGGAGGATACACCAGCAGGCACATGAACTTTGAAATTTCGGGTTTTAGAGAGGGAGTTTTTGGAGAAAAGCGGTTTTTGGTGCGCAGCCTTTGTGTTCGACGCACTTAACGTTGGGTACTCGGCAGCCTTTTAGAGCAGCAACGGCTTTCGCTGCCTTTGTGAGCGCCGAAGCCACAGCGATGGGTGGCTCTCCCGCGTTTAATGCCCCACGAGATACAGCAAATCTCGGTGCGCCCGTTCTCCTCTTGAAATCAGAACAGATAAAAAAATTCCCCGCGTCCGAGAACAAATATACACCAGGCGAGGTCGTTTAAATCCGAAGTGTTGAAATATGGGAACTCTCGGAACATGATATCACACACATAATAAATTTTATTTACGGTTTCAGCAAAGAAATAAAGTTCTGCGACTCTAGAAAAAGTCGAAACACGTTATTTCCTACCAGAAAAAAAAACAGTCCAAAACTGAACATGTACCGAATTTCTTCTAAACTGTTTGAAACGTCTCCCAGAGAAAATATATTCCAGGCGAATTCAAACATGTAATGAAGGTAAATATTTGTTTTTTTACGCAATATTTTAATATCGCAATTGTCGTTTGATTTTAGAACAAATTTTTAAACAAACAGTTGTATATTATTAAATGTTCCTGATCAAATTCAAATCAACCAAGAAAATAAACGCGTATGAGTCAAGAGCCCCGATTGTTTCCTTAGGAAAAAAATGGGCATTCCATTGCTTCCGTTTGGCGCACCGCCTCGTTTTATCTCTCCAGCACGAACACGTAAAGTCCAGGAGTTGAAAGAATCGATCGAAGGATTTGCGATCTACAAACGACAAGCGAAGTGGATTCACAAGGCAAATCTCAAAGACGTCTGCACGCTCGCATCGACGTCCTCCCGAGAGGCTGTTTTTAATAGAATAGAGGTATTGGAGCCGCAAGCGGAGATTCGCGGAGGGTTTTGGGCCCATCGATCTGCGACGAAGGGTCGAGGACGTTTTCGCAGACCTCTCGTCACAAGAGGGAGCAATTGAGCTCGAGGCATGCCGCACGGCTGGCCCGACGACGGAACGGGCCCTGGTGCTCGTTCGAGGGACCAGTTAATGAGCAATTGCGATTCGTTAAGTTTGTGGAAAGTTCGAAGAGAGCGTGGAAAGCGTTTACACAATGGTCAAAAAGTTGTTTAATTTGTTTCACTCTCAACTCTTGATTCGTGAATTATGTTCCCCATATTTCACTTCCTACAGTATTACAAATTATTACATATTTTATTGATAAAATTTTAGTTTCGTTCAGCGACACTTGGAAGGCGTGGAAGGCGTTTATACAATGGTCAAAAAGTTGTTAAATTTGTTTCACTCTCAACTCTTGATTCGTGAATTACGCTCACCATATTATACTTCCTACAGTGTTAATACAAATTATTAAATATTTTATTGATAAAATTTTAGTTTCATTCAGCGACACTCAAGAAATTTTGGCAATTTTACGTATGCAATTTTTACTTTCTTTTATACAAGACAGGTACATGTTGCACTGTCTAACACTCAAGTCACAACTTATCAATTATGTCGTGAACTTCCAGATGTAAATGATGAAGTTATTTTCATTTTGATTCCGCGGCTTAAAGATAATACACATTTGATATTATTAAAAAACGAACATATTTTTCTAATAGTGAGAATAATAACACAAATAATATTTAATGTGTATTGTGGATACACATAATTCATTTTCTTTCAGTTTTTTGGTCATATAGAATTTAAAAGTTATTCGTTAGTACAAAAAGTTAAATTTAATTCAATAGTTGCCTATATGGCAACTTGTTTGCTTTTTCGCCAAAAGTAAGATTTGATGTTTCGGGCAAGTATTATGTAGTTTTAGATTCATGGACCCCAAGTTGAACTGTAGATTTCACTCCAATAAGATTTCACGGTCGGATATAGGCAGAAGCCTTTTACAATAGCTGTTCCTGGAAATCGCGTTTGCACACGTCAATCTGGGTATTTTTCAACTAATTGTTTTGCAAATGGGGATAAGAAATTCAGATGTATTGGATGTAGTATATAATCATGACTTCCGAACCAATTTCAAAATATTGTTCATAATTATTCTAAACATGTTTTATACGAAATTCACCTATGAATATAATACACTGTGTAATGAATAGAACGAGTTCCTCCTAATAATACAATGTCACAATGATTGATGTACTTTATTTGAGGGACTGGGGGAGGGGACTCATCCTTATATCTTTCCACAAACTACTAATATTAATTTATGTTCTGGTGCTCGTTCGAGGAACCAGTTAATGAGCAATTGCGATTCTCCAAAAGTTATTTTAAATTTCAAATTACAAAGTTAATTTAATGGCAACTTTACATTTGCTTGCACAAACTGCTATTGTGAATTTTGCTCCTTCTAAACACCACCAAATATATGTTTAAAGGACACAACATAATAATTTAAATCATTTCTAATTGGTGAATACATTCGATTGAGAATGAACACCATTGACGCAGGTATGTGTCCGTACTTATCAGGAAGATCTCTACAAAAAACTTATGTGATATGTCTTGTGGGCTGCGCTTAATCTAAAACACTGAATATGAGTATCCTGTCGATTTCAGGTGTTCATATCAGTATAGAGTTGAAATTAGTACACGTTCGAAGCAAGATAATTTCAGAACATTTGGAGATCTCGAGATTGAGAAACTCAGGCTGACCCAACACACAACAAACCTACTGTCCAAGTCTCGACAGCTTAATAGTTCGTCAACCCAATATCCGGTCAACTCGATAACAGGGTAATCTGTCAACACGGCAATCACCAACGCAGCAAACTAACCGAACAACTCCACTATCTGACTACCACCAACCCAACTCGAAAACACGACAACCCATTCGCTTAAACAGTTCAGTGCCTAATCAGTGGTATACATGAGTGCCAGCGTATGAACTTTGATCATCGACATCCACGACATAACACATGCTCTATTCAAAGGTAGACGGGCAGGCGCTCTGGGAAGGGCAATTGAGTTTGGGTGGACTGCCCTCTCCCCTGCCTTTCACACGTCTACCTCCGCACAGTGCATTTTCTCCGGAGTTCAGTCAGGAAAGACAGACTATCTGATCGACCCGGCCATGCGAGGAAAGAAGAAGGAAATTCAAATGTCTTATGATAATGCGCGAATCCCATCGCGTTAACTGAACTCACCGCATGATCTTTCTTCAGGGCACTTGATCTTCGTTTTGAACAAATTTAATATTAGTGAAGGCAATCTTAGAAATCACTTGCCAGAAACGACGCAATTTATTCTAGTCATCCTCAATGTGGAGAGGTGCCTAGTGATTCAAGCGATTCAACGACAAGTTTGGGGCAATGTATTTTACGCATTTACGCAAATCAAAAGCTTGGCTTCCTTCGAAGAGTAATGAAGACAGATTATTAACGAACTAATATATCGTATCAAGAACATAAGATGAAAAAAGCAAATTTGTATTTCACAGTTCCTGACTCTTTGATGACATTTCAGATATTTAATTAAAAGTGCTACTAATTGCATATTTAAATGAACCACTAAAATAATGTATGACTATCCTAAAGCCAATCAGTTGGCCACCTCTCCCATAACATTTTACTTCTGCAGCTATATAGGCATTTAGCTGAAGTTTACGGTGAATGCCACTTAAAAGGGATCCTTCCAAGAGCGGTGTAAGGCCTCCAATCTTAAAATATCTGAAAAATATAAATGGAACAAATTTTATTTTCCTAGAAATTTTCCCGGCTCTACATGAAAAACCTAATTTGCAGCAAGTCACATTTTTCGACGACCACCTAATAACTTTTGGTGCACAGAATGTCATGACGAGAAAAGCTTTATTAAGCGAATACATATTCAGGAAGAAAAAAGCTTCAATCACGCTACGTTAATAAATGTACAAAAATTCCGAGAATATTTCACGGTAGATGAATAAATCAAAGGTCCCAGCTCTTTTGAGAGGTCTTTCAAGGTATTATGAGATATTTCAGGCATTAACCGCAACGATTTTTGTTTTTTTAATTTTCCCACGTCTTCACAATCACGAATACGTCAAATGATGTGGCTTTGGAATATATTGTGACATTATGAGTTATCATGACACTCTTAATTACATACAAAGTATATTGTATATTGTATACGTACTTTGTATATGAACTAGACATTCATCGTAAAATACACTCATCGTCATAGAAGGATAAGCGGGTCTGCGATCATTGTTCGTAGGTAGGTAGTTGGTGCAACATATTCGAAACGATTACAGTTTCACATTTGTTGCGCCATACGGTCACAGTAAGTGTAAGTTGGTAGAGAGTCATGACCGCCACGTTTGCGCTAACTCTTTTTACCTTCTCTTGGTACTAGGCGACCATGCCGAAATACAAACATATCAAACATGCATCATTTGCATGTATTATAGATGATTTTGATCCGCCATAAGATGCCAGAACACCCATCGCGAAAAGTAAAATCACATTCAGAATTGACATTTACGTAAACGTAACGTGAACTCAAAAGCTTGCTTCCACGTTGTTAGGCGATGGACGATAGCATTGTGAATGAAAATTAAAACAAATATTAATTTATGACATAAACGTGATAGGTCGCTAATTCAAAGCGTTTACGCTCACTTTAAGCTGCTCTGAGAACACATTTTCTTAAATGCAAAAACCTACAACGAAAGTAAAGTATAGAGCGTTAGCATTCGATGAGGTTGGTAAACATAAATTGCACAACATCCTTGAGCAAACAATCTCTTATGTTCTCGTAGCGTAAAGAATCGTATTCATAATACCATAATCTCATTCATTTCCATGCCAATTATTGTATCGATAATTTATATTACAGAACATATTTCATGATTTAATTGATAAGTAAATGTCTCCTTTATGTTTCTGGCAGTAGTGAATGTCACGTGTTTCTTTTCTTTTTTCTTCCTTGAACTTCTTTCGAACTTTCTATCTCCTTATCTCCCATTATTACTCTAAAATAATTATTATATTCTTTCTTTGCTTCCTCGAGTGGTGCTTGCCTACTTCGTTCCTCTTTCCTGCTGTTGAAATCCAGCAAGTTATTTGTGCGTCCTGTTCTTTTCCCTTGGTGAGTCAGCCTTTTTTACGAGGGCAGGAGAAAATCACCGAAAGAGTGTCTTGCACTCCGCAGCTTCACAGCTAGCCTGTAACTTACGCACTACTCGGGGTGGGTGAGCCTTAGGTGACGTACGTGTGCGTGTGTGTGTGTTGCAGGAGCAAAGTGGCGGCGGCGCTGCTCAACAAGCACCTGCAAATCAACGGCATCAGCGCGGGCATCGCCAGCCTGCAGGGCCCCGACGTGCTGGTGACGACGCCGAACGCGTCGCCGGGCGGAGGAGGCGGTGGCGGGGAGCGGGGGCGGGGGCGGGGGCGGCAGGCGATGGCGACCAGCGAAGCGTCCGAGCCGCTCGCCTCCAGCAAGATGAAGCGCGAGCGCAAGGCGGCGAGGACGCTCGGCATCATCATGTCGGCCTTCCTCGCCTGCTGGCTGCCCTTCTTCCTCTGGTGCGTATCCGCTCACGTCGCTCGCAGGTTTCGAAAATGGATGGATTTCACTCCTTTGGAACTGGCGTAAATCGAACGGATTACATTTATCACAGCACACAGTGTCACACAGTTATTGATAGAATTGTCAACCTACTTTTGATCATCATTTCTCATAAATTTCTGGGCGATTCTAGATAGGTTTATTGTTCATTTCTGTACCAGTTTACGTAAGTTTGCGGGAATGTTTACTTTGTTTTATTTTTAAAGTCTTTTGCAGTCGTGTTGTGCGTTTTATTTTAAATAACACCTTTTTTAAAATGTTATATAAAGACTGTTCCATACGGAACTCTCCAAATGTTCAAACGTTTTTCATAAAAAAAATCACAATATTTCAGCAGTTTGTGTGGGGTTTTTTTTTTGTTTTGTTTTTTTTTTTGAATTTACACAAAACGTGATTATCCGAGCGAGTTCTCTATATTAATTTTATTGACATGATTTGGACACTTCAATAGCCTCATCAGCTAAGAGATAAGTTAAAGACACGTTTGTTTATTATTAAAAATAAAACGTTGCAATAACATGTTTGTAGTAAAAAATACATCCGCAGCTCATGTTATAATACCATGAACATCACAGTTCTAACTGAATATTAGGCTTACCAAACATTGAAGTGAATAAGTCAAGTTGAAAGTGGTTCAGTGAACAACTAAACCTATATTTTGGTCTATTGGTCACAATATACCTTTGATTTTAGAACAAATGCTTATTTAGTTCCTTTAGAATGATGTTAATAGTAACTGCAGTGTTTACGAATCATGAAAAAATATATCCACTGAAAGCATCTAACAATGCCTCAAATATTTTAAAACGGCGGTTGATACCTATTTTAATATTTGTTTGCTTCAATCTGCCTAAAACATCATATTATCATATTTTAATTACTCATTTTATGAAATCTGTTGCGAATACTTTGATGAAGTTTCCAAAACGTTAATATTCCCTGATCGAGTACGCAATCGACTACCCACCGAAATCTCTCACCCAACATACCGAACATAAAGAGCTCTGTAAGTCAATATAAATGAATTTTGCGTTCGTCTGCGATCAGCACGCACTAATTAGGCAATAGCACCCGTTCCCAGTGCAACTATGCTGTTGATAGGTTGAGAATGAAAAGTATGACAGAGTGAATGAAATGAAAGCGAGTCTGTGATTAGTTTTTAAGTGCCAAAAAGGTCACTTTTCATGTCTAATAAGGTCTAATTTCATAATTTTGTTACCTATTTTAGGTACCGAAATTACCACTTTTTGTGCCAAAAATACGAAGGTCTAGTCGTAATAAATACATACAAGTAAAACGGTAAGGTACTGAGAATAGAACATCAATGAAATGAAAGTCATCATCGTCAGTATAATGTTCTTTCTAAATGGTTTTGTAAAATATAAATGTTTGCTAGATTTGCAACGAAAAACCGGTTAAATTTGAACTTGAAAGAACATTTTGCAGTAATTGCATCATAAATCCGAGGTAGATTTTTTAACCCGCCGCTATTTAGAACTCTTTAATCTAAAACCTTAGGAAAACAATAGAAACAACTTAAGTTTGATCAATACATTTTTGTCAGTATTTTCATGAAGAATAATACTCGTATTTCAGCTTCTGTCAGTTATGACAATCCGTCTTCGATAAAAATTCAAGCTGTAATGGAATTTAGGACTTCTCTTTTCTCCATCCACACTATTTATTAGATTTCGTTGTTTTTTATGCCTTCGAAGGTTGATGGTGATTCTCACCATACACCAGACCAATTTTCATTCTTAAGTTGTTTTTTTATAATATCTTGAATGTTCCTGAGTATTTCGTTATAGAGTCCCTCATTCAAACTGATCTCCAGAAACTGTCCTTTCGTATAAATCTTGCAATGTTTTCCTCCCTAGAAAATTAATTACAAGCTTATAATAATAAGCCACGAGTGCTGTATCTAATAGAAGCTGTGGAAGGCGTAAATTTTATACACCGACTTCATGGGGATTTATTTTTCTTCTTCATGGAATTACTTCATGCATCTCAGGATATTTTAAAATACTTAGCTTGGCTTTCTTAATCTCTCATTAAAATATCTAGTTGCAAATACATATGCGTTGACAAACTGTCGAGTACCCCAATACGACACAATCTATCATTTCAATTAAAACATTTGGTGTCTAAGTGGCTCTGTCAGTAGCAGAAATGTCCGCTTGGAACCCAAACACTAGCAATCGATATCTATGCGCTCCATAAGCATCCCTTCTAGTGCTTTTCCGTGTCAGTAACCATGCACTACATTCGGTGGGCCAATCCCAATTCCCCAAGGCCTCATAGGGCGGAGCGACGGAAAGGCACGACGACACAGAGAGCAAATCGAGAGAGAGAGAGAGAGAGAGAGAGAGAGAGAGAGCGCAGAGCGGACGCGATGCGGTGGTCGCGAGGCTCTAAAACGGTCGACGAAGACAGGCGGAGGCCATTGGACCGTACTTGTGCGGGAAGAAGACGTGTTCGCTCTGCGCAAAGGGGCGGCGAGGAACGGTTTCGAAGACAATTGACGGCAAGGACAGTGGAAGACGCTTCAGGAGGCGTGGACACGAAGGCCGAGGAGACGGAGGACCGACGAGACGGAGGACCGACGAGACGGAGGACCGACGAGACGGAGGACCGACGAGACGGGGGACCGACGAGACGGAGGGTCGACGAGACGGAGGGTCGACGAGACGGAGGGTCGACGAGACGGAGGGTCGACGAGACGGAGGTATTGTTTTATTTCGACTGATGACCGATTCCATATATTTTCCCCTTAATTTCTCTGTGAGGGATCGAAAAAGAATAATAATTGTTTGATTTTTGTGTGTTCCAATCAAAGTACAACCCCCTAAAACATTTAAAATGGCATGAAACGAAATAAATGCCAATTAACAAACTTCCAACAAGCTTCCAATGCCATCCAACAAACTTCTCGCCTCCACTTAGAAGCATGGACTGAAGGAAGGTTCAGGCGGAGGCGGGGGAGGGCGCGCCACCGGACACCGTCGTTGTGACACTGGCGAAGGAAAGCGGATGGAAGGCGTCTTAAGGGTCTGGCGGGCGACACCGCAGAGAGGTACAGGAACCAACCGGTGGATGGGCGAACGGCCTGGTGAATTGATTTGCGAGGGCGGCAGTGGCGTGCGCATGAGTGCGTGCGTGCACACAGGATGCGTGACAGTGCGTGTCCGACTGCGGATGGAAGTCGTGCTAGCGCAGATGTTAATTTATGGGTTTCGAGGAGGCATGGACATATGAGGACGGATGAATAGATCCTAGCGTGAGTCTGGAAGGGGCCAAATTATGGAGGAAGGGAAAAGGAGAATGAGGTGTAGATTATCGGGTAGACATAAAATAATTCGCGTAGTGGAAACATCATTGGAAGAATGTGAATCGTTGTAAGTAAACTTTAATAAGGCTCTAAAGAAAAAAGTTTGTTACTCCATTTGTTTTTATTAAACCCTTTTATTATCAATGCATATATTCATCGTATATTTGATGTACATAATCTATTTTAATAATAAATTACTAAATAATTTAATTAAATACCGAATGACAGAATTGATTGTGGCGTTTTGTCCACGCAAACTTAATTGCAACCTCTCTTCCTTTTTCTTGTGAATGTATATTACTAAAAGAAATACTGACTTTTGTAGTATTTAAAATTCGCGACAGTACGTCCGTTGTTTAAAAATGCCTTGCTCTATCTTTCTAAATACGCAGTAGTTACGGTGAGATTAGATTAAGAGGTTTACTAAAGCCGGGAAAATTGCTTCCCCTTCGAGGAGAAAGTCCCTGATCCTTCTCTAGTTGAATGCTCCCGAGCGTTAGAAACGCGGGTGAATGGAGAGGTGGAAAGAGGAGCCGTTCGCCGGGAAACACGTTGAGCAAGGGTCGGGCGGGCCAGCCCAACTGGTGGTGGAACTCGGCCTGCGCACGATCGCCGATCGCGGGAGCGCGAGGGAGGAGCGATGTTCTTCGCCGGAGCTCTTGGCCTGATGCTCGTAACCAAGCAAACTACAAAAACAGTAAAATGGCACTTAACATTAACTTGTTACGCACTCAAAACACTCGAGTGTCAATGTTGATATATTCCCTTTCAAATAAAAAAAGCATTGCCCTACCTGGAGATTGTTTACATTGCAAAGTATTTTTTTTCTGTATTAGTGCCCGCTATGTATGTGGGTACTTGGCGCGACAGCCCATGAAGGGGCTCAGGCTTACCGGCGACGTCCCTGCCTCGCGGCTATGGGTTAAAGGGGTACGTGTGGTTAGACATCCCCACGCCGTATTCCAGCCTTCTCAACCTGAGAAGTGAATTTTCTCATTGTCACACAGCAACATACACTGGGTCATTGCAAGGAAAGCGCACAATCCTTTTCTTGGCTCGACCGGGAATCATACCCGGGGTCACAAGTGCCCGCTCTATTGATTGTCATTTAATGCACCGTTAATGCTTCCGCCAATGCTTCGCTATGGCAGTGTATTACTATTCACACGCAACTGGTCACGTAATCAACAAACAAGTTTTTCGCTATGATCTGCAAAAATTTTAATAAATGAAAGACTTTCGTTTTTTCTATGTTCTGGTTTCGACATGGTTATCTAGTGTCCTATTGTTGAAAAGTTCTCCATCAAGTTACGGCAAGCAATCGCTTTGACATTGTCTTGAAGAAATTTTATTTACTTGGCCGACATAACGTTCAAGTAATACTTCCGGCCGATATTTCTCAATCACAATAGGAAGAATAGGCAGCATAGACGCTCTTAATACTTGAGGGTGCGGCGGGTCGCGTAGAGTTTCTGTTCAGGGGCCCTTGAGCCAGCATAAAAGGGATCCGGGAGTACAAAAAAAAATGTTTGCAAAATTTATTTATTTTTTCTTCTGTTCAATAACCTGGTTTTTCCTGTCAGGTAATAT